GGCGCTGTCCCTCAGCTCTTCAGCTCAAGGTTAGTGCTCTACCACTTAAGCCACAGCGCCACTTCCGGCTTTTTTCTTTGTGCTTATGTGGTGCTGAGGAATCGAACCCAGGGCCTCAGGCATGCAAGGCAAGCGCTCTACCACTGAGCCACCTTCCCAGCCCCTCCCTGAATTCTTTCACGCAAGGCTAGCCCTCTACCACCGGAGCCACAGTTCCGCTTCCAGCTTTTTGGAGACTAAAAGTCTCATGGACTTTTCTGCCTGGGCTGGCTTCGAACTTTGATCCTCAGATCTCAGCCTCCTGAGCGGCTGGGATGACAGGCAGGAGCCACCGGCGCCTGGATTCCATTTGGTGTTTAGAGAGGTTCTGAGTTTTTTTTTTTTTTTTGCTGGTCCTGGGGCTTGAACTTTCGGCCAGGGCGCTGTCCCTGAGCGCCTTTCATTCAAGGCTAGTGCTCTACCGCGTGAGCCACAGCGCTACTTCTGGCTTTTTCTGTGACTGATAGGAGATCAGAGTCTCACAGACTTTCCCGCCAGGGCTGGCTTTGAACCAGGATCCTCAGATCTCAGCCTCCTGAGTAGCGTGGATTGCAGGCGTGAGCCACGGGTGCCCGGTGGATCCTGAGGTCTCTGAAGGAGAATTTTGCAGGTCGTTGTGGGGTGGGGTCACTCATGCCCGTGCGTGGCTTGCAGAAGGACGGCGTTGACGAGGGACGCAGGAGCCGCACACCCCAGACCCCAGCAGGGCGCGTGCGGGCGGTGGCCTCACCCCCTTCGCTCATCTGTGACGGGCCTCGGGCTCCTCACCCTCCTCTCCAGTCCCGTCCACGTCCCTTCGCTCCCGGAGTCTCGTCCGTTTCCCCGGCTTCCGTCTCCTTGTCTCCCGGGGTGAGGCGGCTCTGGTGGGCTGGCTTCGAGTTTCCACTTTAGGAAGAAGTCTGGCTCGGCGGACTCCTAAAATAGACCTGCAGCCCAGGCTCCCTGTCTGAATTCCAGGTCATCACAGCCGGCGACTTGTACGCACCTACTGTGTCTCCAGATCTCCCGTCATCAGTTCCAGCCACCCCCCACCCCGCGGGGACAAGCCAGGGGGCCTCGATTCCTCATCCAGACCCCCTTCCCTCGCCACCGCCGTGGTCTGCGGTGCCTCCGAATTTTACCCCCCCCCCAAGCTCCGTGCTCTGGTTCTAAACAGGAACATGTGGTCATCCATCACTGGCCGACGTCCCGTCCCCCGGCTCTCTACGCCCCTCACACGGCCCCGGGGGCTGTGTGTGCTGGCCTGGCCTCTACCCCAGGGCGTGGGCTTCTCCTTCTGCCCGACATGCTCCTTTTCTGGCTCTTTCTCAGACAGACGTCTGTCTTCATTCAGACGGGTGCTTCTTCCTCCCGACTCTCCTGGGCTTCCCTGTTCTTCCTCCTTAAGCACTGGAGTCTCCCCAAGAGCCCGTGAAAATGGCACCTTCTCGGAACCATGGCGCAGAGCCAGGAGCTCTTCACAGAGGGGCCGGGCAGCCCAGGGCAGGCCAGAGACGGTGGGATGAGGGAGAGGCCGAGGGAGGCCGGGGGTCTGCAGAGGGGGCCAGCATGCCCCGTCCGCTCTCCTCTAAGGAAGAAGATGACCGGTGGCCAGGGCCCGCTAGCTCGGGCTCACTGTGTTTATCTTTAGATTTCTGAGATAGGATCTTGCCGTGCGGCTGAGGCTGGACTCTGCTTCAGATCCTCCCTGCCTTAGCCTCCCCAGGTGCCAAGATCACAGGTGTGAGCGTGTGTGTGTGCGTGTCATTGTGCCCGGCTCAAGCTGTTCACGGGGGACTTCTTTTCAGCTGGAATGTGAATGCTGGTGAGGCAGAAGGTTTCCCAGCGTGGTAAACTGAGGCACCTTCAGGGCCCAAGAACGGGTCCAAGTTAGAGATGTTGGCTCTTGGAAGAACCGGGTTCCCGGAGTCAGGCACGCTGCCCGCACCCTGGGGATGACAGGCATTGGGGTGGACGTTAGTCTATTGCCACCAACACCGCACGTGCACGCGTGCAAGGAATCTGGAAACAGGAGGAATGTCTAGGCCCTGGAGACGGAATGAGCGCCCACGGCGAGAGGCTGAGCTGCAGTCGGGTGAGGCCAGGCTGCCCTCTGTTGCAAGGCATGCTGGGACTGGCCGGGGGGGGGGGCTGGCCGTGGGGGAGGCCCGCCTGGCTCTCACAGGGATTCTGCCGTGTGTCCCTCAAAGTCTGGCAGAAGATGGCCAGACAGGGGGAGGGCGGGGAGGATGGGCGAGACCATCTGGCGTGGTGAGCAGCTGCACGGACAGTGCCAGGACGGACAGGCGGAGGACGGCAGACACAGCTACGTCCTGGGAAGGAAGCGGAGCCAGGGCTGTGCTGCCCGCGCGTCGATGCCCGTGGCCTCCGAAGGGCCAATGTCCATTAACTTTAAAACATGGCTTCCTCGGAGCGTTTTAAGTGGTCTCCAGGGCCTCGCGAGGCCCCTGGCGGTACCATCGACGGCCTGCGTGGGATACTTTGAGACAGGCCCATCCAGAAACTTCCATGTATCCTCTGCCTTGGACTACCCTGGGGGTCTTCATTTGTGTGGCCACAGGAAAGTGAGCCCCGAGGCTGCAGCCGGTTCCAGAAGCCAGAGAGTCTCCTCTTCCTCCCCTGTCCTCTCGGCCTCCTCTCGGGCGGGGCCAGGGGAGGGGAGCTGAAGCGGAGGGGGCCAGGGCTGAATCTCTTCCCCTCGGGGGGAGTGAGTCAGAGACGCGGCTCCGTCTTAAATGTCCAGAAGCTGGAAAGGCTGCCGGCAGGCCCTGCCTCCCCCCCCCCCCCCCCCCCCCCCCCCCCCCCCCTGCCCCTCCACAGCCCCACGGCTGGCCGGCACCGGCTGGCCGGCGCGGATCTACAAGTCTCTTCTTGGTTCTTGCCGATCCGTCTTCGCTGGTCAATCCCAGGGCTGCCATCTCTCTGGGATGACGCTGTCTCCTCTCTGGGACCCACGCCTTTGCTGAGCGCAGACTCTCCGTGTCTCCCTCCCTGGGCACTGCGTCCCCTCCACGGTGAGGTCAGGACCGTCCACGCAGGCGGCGTCCCGGGCCCCCGCTCCCGCCCTGCGTCCCCCTCCTAGCCCTCCTGGGAGGAGTTCCGGTGCCGTGTCAGTCTGGTGGTGCTGGCTGCGTGGACTGGTCGCGATCGGTGGCATCTCAGGAAGACGGAGTTCTCCAGCTCACAAATGCCTCCACTTTATTCGCATTGCTTCGGTCCCTCTCCGTAAAGATCTTTTACAACTTTGTCTTTGAAAAAAAAATCTCAGCTGGTTTCCATGGGATTTACCCTTGACGGCCGGACGTTTCCCCCCCAGGGCTTATCTGTAAAAGGCGTCTAATTCTTTTCCCTCTTCGCAGATAGACTTCAGCTCATCCCAGGAGGACAATCCGGTTTTCAGTCACTTTCTGACGATTCCAACAAAACCTCTTTTGCCCTGATGGCCGTGGTCCAGCATGACCGCAGCCCGGGAGGCTCAGGGCTCCTCCGAGCGTCCACCTCCCTCGGGCTTGCTAAGGTCCCCAAGGACGTGGTGCTGGGGTCTGTCGGGAGGACGCCCGGGAGGGGCCCCCGCTGCCCTGCCCCCACCCCCCTTGAGCCCAGCTGATGCTGGCCGCCAGCCCGGGAACCTCCAGAAAATGGGAACCTTTTCCTCGTCAGTTCGTTGCTTCTGGCATTTTATGGTCGTCGTAAGAAGCCGCGTAGTAACATCCATCTTCCATTTCCTTCTTTGGGGCAGGGCGGGGGGAGGGGCAGCAACCGCTTGAAAGCTCAAACGCACCGTGCCGTGCACCAGCACGCCTGCCAGCCTAAAGCCCGGCCCGGAATCGCCACTCGCAGGGAGGTCTGACGCGGCCAGGCAGCCTCCAGCAGAGCCTCAAGTGGTTTCTGGTTTGTTTCTTTGTCTGCCTGGAAAACCCGAGCTCCCTTCCCGCATGCTAGTCCCCCAGCTCAAAGGTAGCTCAGCGACAGGCCGGGCGGCTGGCCTCCATCCCCTTCTCAGGCTCTGGCCAGAGACACAAACTCACCCTCTGCCCTCAGGGTATGAGCACCTCCCGCCGTCCGGCGCGGCCCGCCCCTCCTCCGGGAAGACTCTCCCGCGTTTGTTCCTGGCTGGGAAGCCAGCCACGGAAGAAGGCAGGAAGCGCGCCACAGTCTGGCGACCGACCCGTAGCCGCAGCTGCCGGGAACCGGCTGCCAAGCCATCACCCGAGCTCATGAGCCGGGTCCGAACGCTGCCGCCGCAGGCCGGCTCCGCGGGCGGCCGCAGCCAGGAACACCTCTGAGTCCACCGCCGGGTGACTCAAGGCGTGGAAATAGTCAAACCGCACGCCTCACGACACCCAGAGAAAGCCATGCTGGCCGGCACCCCTCCCCCCCCACCCCGCTCCCCGCCCTGCCCAGCCGCGTCGCCATAGCGATGGCCAGAGGCCCCCAGCGCCGTCCGACCATCTCTCGGTCGGGAGACCGCAGACCCCGGGCAGGGGGCTGACCTTGGAAGGGGTATTTTTTACATCACTTGACCAACATGACGTCGGTGGAGGCGTCTCGTTCTCTGAAAATTAGCCAGAGATTTGACAGAGAGGAAGAGCAAGAACGGTGACCGGACCGTCTGTACAGCTTTTCTTTCTGGTCAGCACTGGGATTCGAACTCAGCACGCTACTGCTCGAGCCCCGCCTCCAGCTCCCAGTCTGTCCTGTCTTCTGCGCCTCGAAAGCTCGTTTCCCTACAGGGCACCTGAGCTGGGGACCCGCTGGAGAACGGCCCGTGAGCTGTGGTGCCGTGAGACCCGTTTGCAGACCCCCCCCCCCCGCGTTAGCTGAGAGCCCTGTGTGCGTGCGGGGCTGGCGCGCAGAGGTTTGGTTTGCCAGTCTGTGGGAAATGAGAGGGGAAGGGCTGGGGCTCGGCCTGGTGGGGCCTCCACTTCCGGGGGGGCTGGGGAACCCCGGCTGGGGCTCTGTGTCAAGGAGCTGGGGCCTGTCTCCCCCTCTTGGCCAGGTGTGCCCTCCTGCCCCCAGCCCGCCCCCCTTCCCCCGCCCCCGGTCTGCCCTCAGAGGTCTACCTTGGGTTTGAAGGCGATGAGCTTCAGGATCATCTCCACGGTGAAGAGGCCGGTGAACAGCATGTTGAGGATGTTCATGGCGGATTTGAACAGGCAGCTCTGGCCGTAGTGCTGAGCGGAGGGAAGGGAGGGGCGGTGAGGGAGGGGCGGGGAGGCAGGATCCCCGGCTCCTCTCCCCCTCGCACCCCCTCCCAGGCCCGGGACTGACCTGCATGGCCAGGCAGATGGTGTTGAGCAGGATGAGGAC